CTTTGGGGTTTAGCTTCTGTTCATGATGAAATGAAATGCATGTGGTTCTCCTCAGTGTGAATATGGTTGTCTGTGTTTTAATAAGTCTTTGACCTCTTGGCAGACTTCTTGTAAGCTGTTGTATGCTCTTAAAGATATTAAATAGCCTCATGTCATACAAATTAGTTGACTAGAAGAGGATGACTTCTGTATTTTAATTGAGTAATGTGACAGTTCATTTGTCAGAGGGTCTAAAAATTGTCTTTGAGGGGAAGACTGCAATGTGAGGTCACATTGTTTATTATTATCAGAAAATCTAAATGGGAGAGAGACAGAATATACACCTCAACTTTTGGAAAAGTCTTAGCAGAAGTTTATATGTTGTTAGAGGTCAGAAACAGAATTCTCAAAATCTCCAAACTGGAGACTACACAGAGTCTTCAAGATACCTATTTGAGTGTTCCATTTCTTTACCAGTTTTGAAGGTAGATACTACATTTCCTCTTTTATGGTCCTTTGACTCTGTAAACCCTTCACAGTTTTTTCAAGAGAGTGTTGTCAGCTCTTTAAACACTTTGGGATGGAGTTTTCCAGGTGCTTTGAAAACTTCACAAAGAAAAAGGCTGAGTACAAGTACACCTGGTTCTCTTCATATACAACACATCATTTATTCTGAAGAGGGAGGTCAAGTATTAGTAGACATATTAGGAAACCCACCTCTTGAAATATGGGATTTCAGTAGAAAAGGATTCCTAGGGGTATTGTCAAGTTAAGCTGACTAATCTTTGAGGCTTTTTATTTTTTTGCCCCTTGTCATAACTGGAGGTGTTTTGGGCAGCTTTTCCAAACATGGAAGTTTAAGGTTCTGTCAGTCCCTGCAAACTATAGAGGTGAATCCAGTATTATTGAAGTAGTGAGGCATTCAAGCTTTCATAATGCCTGGAAGGAAAAAGAAGTAAATTCCTGGGACTGTTTAGGTCTTATCCAAAATTTTGGAGTTGCACAGATGTGCAGCATAGCACACTGAGTTCTCAAAATTCAGGCCAGTTAATTTTGCTTTTAGTGGATGTGTCTAGGCTCTGCTGGAGCCTTAATGACACTCATTTTGCTTGCCTTGCAGACAGCTACTATTCCCTGTATGTTAAAATCCATTTCACCCTCCAAACTTAAGAGAGCTGTGAGTGAATGCTGAAAACACTTGAGTGATGAAGTTATTAAGATTTTTAAATCTTCCAAGGGATAGGCATTTGTGCTGACACTGAAAAATCAAACAGTATGCCACAGGATACAGCACATATTCCGAATTGGCAGAATGAAATATGAACTGCTGCTGCTTGTGTTTATGAAGTGAGAATTTAAAATTTAAACTCAGACCAGGGTGCAAAGGCAATTAAGCTTAAAATATAGGCAAGACATAAGAAGGAAAATGATTCTGAGTGGATTCAATATTTGGCATATGTATAACTGCTGTTGTATATGGCAGACAACTTGCAACCAAAATATTTTTACTTAGACATGAAAATATTTCTGTCAATACTGTGCCATTTTGGTCTTCTACACCTGGGGAGCACAAAGAGCAGTTTTAAGCAAAGTTGGTCATAATACATATAAGGCATCCATGAAAGAATGCATTTTCCACTGCAATTAAAATTACATTTTGGGAATACTAAGCTGATAGTGTTTGGAAGCCTCCTTGCAGGAGTGAAAATGTTGTTCTCAAATACTTTTCATTTGTGTTCATACTGCCTTGCAATTCAGTTGGGAGGCTGGCAAGGAATCATAACTGATCACCTTGAAAACTGGTATGGACTTTGCCTCCCTAGCAAAGGTGTGAGTGATGATTAACAGATAAATTTTAACAGATTTTACTTCTTTTTGGAAGATCATGCAGTTGCAATACTTACTGTTACCATTTAGTTAAAAAAATACAAGAATTGTGTAAATGCAGTAGGTCACTAGAAGGAAAACATTCAGCAATTTTTTCAGAATGAATTCCAATTTTATTTTTAAAGTGAAGTAGAAAGGCTCTTTACTGAAGGGAACTGGACTTCTCAAAATAAAAAAAAAAAAAGGTATGTTGCTGGTCAAACAAATCATGATATTGAGGGGCATTGTTTAAAACATGAGCCTGAAAGGGCTGTGAACATTGGGGTCAGATAATGGCACATTGCTGATGTCAGTAACAGAAAGCTGGAGCTGCACCTCAAAGCTGGACTCGGATCTCACAGGGAGAGCTGGGAGAGCTTTCAGCCTCCCCCGTAAAGTCTCTTCTGTTCTTCTCCTGCCCACGGAGCTGGCAGCTCCCAGCCCTGGCTGCTGCCCAGCAGTGCTGCTCCTCTGAAGCTGCAGAAATGTTTGACACTGCATAACCCTCAGGCCAAAAAAAAAAGGGGTTTTCCTTGGCTGCTGTCCCATGCTGTGACCCACCTGCACCCCTGGTGCTGGGTGGAGGCAGGAGAGCAGGGAGAAGGGTGTCTGTGCAAACCCCTCTCCCTTTTTCTCCAAACACTGGGGCTGTGCCTGCTGGAAGTAAGCCAAGCTTGGAGGGAAGCAGATGGAGTTTAGAAGCAATCTCTGGGAAGGACACTATTGCAAATAGCTCTTAGTCTACCAACCAAACTAAAAACTTTAAGTTTTCCCCCAAGTGACCTGGGGATCTCGTACCTGTAATCTGTGTTAGTTACAGTGGGGAATGGCACTGGAAGAAATGGCACAGAGATAGGAGATCTAGTTTAGCTGTTCTTAAATTTCACCACATGTGTGGTTGTGTTTGCAATTTGGCTAATGAGCAAGACAAGGCAAAGAATGTCCTTGCCTTTCCTTAGAGATACTGTGGGCTTTTCCAAGGAGAGCACAGAGCACTTTTTTTCCCAAGTGGTGAATTACCTAATTTCAGTAAATTGCCTCCTTTCCAAGTTGTACAAGCAACTTTCTTTTATAGCTCTACAAGGAGATACTTCCAGGTGCTACACATAGTGCAGAAAATATATGATGGTGCCAGTTGCTCACAGACTAAAAAGAAAACCTCAATGTTTTTCTCTTTCAGAAACAAGTAATTTCATTAATATTTTTCCAAGCCAATGAGCAAGTAAAGAATATCTCCCTGCATACCGGTTTCAGGCACAGTAGTAACTTCACACAGAAACATTAACAGCAGCTTTTATTATTCATGGTTTTGATCTACTTTGTGGAGACAGAACAGCACTAATCAGTTGATTTGACTTCCTCTGAAGTAACTATTGTAAAGCTTATTTGGGAAGAAGATAAGAAACATGAGATGTCTTTGCTCTGGAAAGGAAAACAAAAGACAGGGTTGTATTACTCTTTTCTGTAATCTGTGTTTTGTTGTTTAGTTGGGTTTTTTTAAATTCTTTTTCTGCTCTTTTTTTTTTTGGGGGGGGGTGGTAGCATCAGTTAATAATAAGAAAGAGGTATAAGATAAATTTCGTTCATGTGCAGAAAATTGAGGGGAAATGATATTCTAGATTTGAGCTTATACCTAATGGTCGTATCCTTGTCAAATGTAGGTGGTTGTTACAAGTGTTGTTTATAAAGAAAATGCTTTCAACTGGCAGTCTCAGGAAAAAATAGAATTGCATAATTTAGAGGGTCGGGCTTTGTAAGGCAGCACTTGCTTGTGTGAGTCTCCTGAACACAATCTTCATCATTCTAACTCCACAGTTTTAAAGGTGAGGTTTTTAATGTGAGGTGGTCATGGACTTCTGTAGGAATCTGATCTGGACTCGAAGCTGTCTTGGTTTCCTAAGACGTTAATCACAGCCTGTGTTTGAATGATTGAGTATTTTTAACATTCATATGATTTTGCTCTTTTACCGCACTTCTGTAATTTTCCACATTTGTTTGATGGGACAATTAAATGCTACTGCTTGTGAGATAAATAATTCATGGTTTCTGAAGCACAAATAAGTCTGTAGTCATACTATAAGAGGTAATCTTTTATGCAGCTTTGTTTTAATTCATGCTTTGTTACCTTTATTATCACTGATTGCTATTTTATAATAAAACTACAGTTTACAATCAGAATAGATATGCTTTAATTTAAATTTAAATTTAAACTGAGCTGGAGACTGGTACTAGCAGTGTGTTTGTCCTCTCCAGAAATGCAACTCTGCAAAAGGCTGCTCTACTATTAATCCATTCATATGTGTGAACAGGAGATATTGCAGATATTGTCTTGAAAGTATTAAAAATGAGTATCTGGAAGAACTGAGTAACCATTATTATGTACAGAAACCTCCCCTATGAGTAAATAACATCTACAGATCTCTGGAGATGATTTGTTTCAATGCAGCTTGAACATAATATTTCCATTTGCAAACAAATTTGATCAGATACAATAAACAGTGCTGGAGTCTTAATGTAATTCTATTACCTATAAGTCAGTACAGAAAACAGCAATGCAGATGCCTGACAAAAGGCAGAGTAGCTTCTTCACCTTTGCTGATAAATATAAGTGTAAGTCGTGTAATTCTAATAATCAAACAGAAAAGTAAGAGAAAATAATATCCCTAGTCTTGTCAAAACATAAAGGGAAAGTAGATGAAAGTTGATGCTTTGAGGAAAAATGCATGCTAGATGTAAGGAATACTGATGTAGAGCTGAAATTCAAAAACTAATAAAAATATCCTTTGATATCCCAGTATGCAGGAAAATGCAAACTGCTCCGAAATAAAGATCAGACTGGATAGACCTGCCATTTGTTTTAGGGTTTTTTATCTTACCATACCTATTTTTAAGCAATCTAGGGGTTGGAGAGTACCTGGGGGCTTTGAGGACAAGGTACTACTGTATGACAGCTATTGAGACACTGAATCTAACAGGTTGAGGAGAAAATTTGGTTGGTTTTTTTTTCTGCTGATCTTTCACCTTGGGTTTAATCATAGTACTGTAAAACTTTTAATCTCTAAAATGGCAATGCTGTTAGATAGCTTGTAAAAGTGTTGGAATAGAGAAGAATTTTATCACAGCTCTAAAGTTACCAAATGCTTTTATTTCTGCAGAGTGCAGCTGGTGGCACAGCTTGTCAGCCAGCACAGTGCTGATGGTTCTGAAGAGAAGCCAAGGCAGCAAAGGTAAGACTGTGGGACCAAGCCTGGCTTATGTTTGCCATTGAGGGGGGCCCAAAGAAGGCTGTCAGGTATGAAATGCAAGAATATAGCAATACTTAAATGACTCTGTGTGTGTGTGCCTAGCATTTAGGTAAAAAAAACCCACCCAACTTGTAAAAGAAAATTGAGTCCATTGTGTCTTCTGCTTCACTGATAGGATTAGAATATTTCTACATTTTGTTTAGAAGAAAATTAAATACTTTTCCTGTCTGTCAACTACACACTATTTTTGCTAACGTGTCAATACTCAGTAGTAGAAATCATGAAACTGAAGCTATTCTTCAAAACACATTTTTTTTTTAAAAAAAGCACTATTAATTTTGTTATTTTGTTTGACAAAAAATTAAACACCCCCTCCCCCCCCGCCCCCAGCTAAAAGGAAGGATCTCAAAGGAACTGGAAGACAGCCATTACTATCACAGTAGAAACTCCTGTTGTCTTTACTGACAGGAGGATCCCACCCATTGTGAAATCAAAGGAGTAATCAAATCAAGAGAGATTACATTTCCACCAGATCATGTTGGTAGAAGAGTTCTAATCTGCTTGAAAGAAAATATAAATGAACAAAAACTTTTTTTCTTCTCCACCCCTCTAACCAAGAGCTTTGAGAGTTCTTGCTGGCTGCCTCTATCCAGCATGCAACAGCTCAAATTTGATGTTTATTTTCCTCCTGAAAGGAGTTTTAGTAATATACTGGAATAAAAGGAAGCAACATGAGTCTGACAAGGCTATTGCTGGATCTTATGGCAACTTAATGGCTCTTCTTCTCTCTTATCTCTCTGCTTTCAAACATCCTCCAGCCAAAGTCTAACTTGTTATCGTCATATGCTCAGCAGCACCATCATTATCTCCTCTAAATGTGTGTAACTACATGTTAGTATTCTGCTGGGTTTGAGCATTGCTTTATACAAGACTAGAAAAGAGATCATCAGCTGCAGAATGAAAATATTATTCACTTTTGTAGAAATATTTTTTTCCCACTGTGAGTCCATGCTGTTTTCTTTGAAAATGTTAACTTTTTTTTTTTTTTTTTTTTTTTTTTGGCTCAAAGAAACACCCTTTTGTTCTCTGATCATCTGGGTTCTAACTTTGGAGAAACTGCAAAATGGTGGATTATTTTAAACTCCTTCTCAGTGTAATGGAATGGGTTCCAGAGTAGAGGCTACTAGAAAAAAACCCACAAACAAACCAGCAAACCCAAACCAAAACAAGTATAGTGCTCAGGAAAATATTCAACAGGATTACTTCCTGTGCTCAAATATCCTCCTTTATGAAACAAATTTCCTGCTCTTGTTATTTCCAAAAGTAAAATATAACTTTATGTAACAGCTTTGGAAAATGGAGGAGCAGAGGCCCACACTTCAGAGAAGCATGTGATTATGGAATTTAATCTGAGTAGGCCAAACCTCTCAAGAAGATTGCATCTGACTCTGTAAGACTTGGCAAACCTCCGAGTCAGAGAAATCTTTCTGCTTTTTCTGTTAAAGGCAGAAACCCTCTTCCATTTTTCTTTTGGCTGAGAAAATTCATCTAATTTCTAGTCAGAGAAAAATGAAAGAACAGCTTGGCCTGAAAAGATTGGGTTAGTGTGTTATATTTTATACCAGTGCTATATTTTATATCAAAAAAATGACGGACCTGAGAAGGTTTGTCTGTAACTCACCTTTTCCATTTTAGCCTTCCCACTGACAAGTTTACCTGAAAATCAATATTTTACATTGAAAAAAATACGTTCTGTGTCAGTAACATTCCCAAGCAATATAGATCTTAAAGAAACATGCCAACACTTGCCAGGTAAATATTTGTAATGAATAATCTGCCTGAAACCCTGGGGGAAATTGCAGATCTGGAAGCAATGGCCAGTTTCTACAGTGGTGCTCTGGAGCAGCTGTTCTTCTCCTTTGGTGTTTTTGTCCTCTGTGTTTACCACAGGGCTGCTTTGTTACTCTTCCTTTGGCGGTGGTGACTTTTCTTCTTGCAAATGTCAACCCTCAGCAAAAAAATAAGCATCTCTTTACCAGTAATTACACAGGCTGCCCTGCAGGAATAAGGACAGAGGAAATCATGCCAGCAGCTCTGGGAGCTTCCTGTTGGTCCCAGTTTGTCATGTGCAAATAGAAGGAGGTTGTAGGATTTTGGCTGAGCAGGGTGGGCACTCACAGAGCTGTGGGTGTGAGAGGCAGACAATTGTTTCTTGTCTCTGCTGTCACTTTTTGCTGTGGTATGTGTCACCTAAACTCTGTTTCAAGGCCTTCTCTCAAATGAAGGTGTTCATACCTGCTTGTGTCTTGTGAAAGAACTCAGGGCTTGTAATTCATAAAGTCTTCTTGATTCTATATTCTGAGGAGGCAGTGAACTGATGATTGGATTCTTTGCACTCTGGAATACGACATCTGAAGGATTTAATCATACATAGCCGGTCAATTCTTCTCACTGTGAACCAGGATTTTCTCTTCCAGGGAACTTGTACAGGAAGAAAATCCATAATTATTGTATTCTGCATCCATACAAGTAGTCTAGGTCTGAAAATATCTTGTTGTTACAGGAGTAATCTCTCCAGAGGTAGACTGCCCAGCCGTTCCCAATATTTCAGCCCTGCATAAACCCTGATTTGATGTAAAAGTCACTAAAGTTATCATGAAGACAAAGTGAAATGATTCTCTTATGTCACGGTGGCAAATTGGAAAGTGGAAATTGGTTTTATTTTTAAAATTGCCATATTCTCCCTCTGTACTTAAAAACAAGTGCCTTTCACTCTACATGTAAAATAAGACAAAAGGTTTAATCTACTGGAAAACCCATGACAGCTGTCCTTGGAGAACATAAGTCAGAATCTGTGTTAGTAGGGAGCTTTGCTGCAGATGCTTGGAGGTTCCAGCCAGATTTTATAAAGAGAAATTATGTCTCACTCTGAGGAAAATGTAGAAAACACAAAACCCCAGCCTCTCTCATCTGAGTGTGGAAAAACATTAAGGTTACATATTGAATGTAAATGAAGTGTTTTGATTATTCTTGCAATTTTATGGAGATTAGAGCTTTTCTGTGAAGTGTACAGCTAGAGACTGACTTTTTTATATCCCAATCTGAAGGCAAATGTTCAAACAGTAAGAACTTCAAAACAGATCACCCATACTTCTTTATCTATATATATGTATGTATAATTTTAAGGGAATCTTGGTTTTATTGTAAATTAATATTGTTTCTCCAGCCTAGTTAAATTGCCATTGCACTCCTCAAATACTTCTGGGACATGGATCATCTTTTGCAGTGTAAGGGTACAGCTCCAGTGCAGTACAGCCTTTATTATTACCGGTGACCATGGGGCTACCTCAGCTTAGAGAATGATAACCAGGGGTCTTCTGGAATATTTAAATAGCAGAAAGTGTTGGGGGTTTTTCCTGTACATCCACTTTGCTGAGAAGAGGCAATATGTTCTTCCATTCCCCAGTTATTCCTGTCCTGCTGGTCCCTTGATGCAGTGCTGCCAATAGGCCACCCTGGCTTAATTTCATGATTTCAGCTCTCCAGCCCCACAGTTGAGCTGCTCACTCTGTGTTGGCTCTTTGGGTGATCTGAGCAGGAGAAAATCTGCCAGTGCCACCTCACAGCAGCAGCCTAGAAAGTGGCTGCTTTCTCTTAGCTGTAATTCTTCCTTCCCATTTCCCAGTGCAAGCACAAGGACCTCTGTCACTGACTGGATACTTGTGTCTTTGAGAAAACTCATTTTTACTGTGCGTAGCACATTGAGATTATTGCATAGTTCACTATTTTCTTCAGTTTGCTTTTCCTTATTCTAAAGAATTTAGAACCAGATTGTTTTCCAAGCAGGGACTAAATAATTTAGAAGAATATATCATACAGGAGCGAGTTTAGACACACACTCAATGTTGTGCAGTATTTCTCCTAAGGCAATAAAGACCACCCACACTGAGAGTCCAAGTACAGTGTCCAAAACTCATTAAATTTTCTTTAGCTTTTTTTGTACTTCTCAGAGTGTATTTTCATGTGTCTGTGGCACCATGGCTGCCTCGCAGGTACCTGGCACTTTATGGTTTAAACTGCAGCTGTGAGGAGCTGTGAAAATAATGTGTTGCCAGCAGAGCTGATAAAAATTATTTTTCAGTCTGGTTAGAAAGAATTAATATATTGTGGCAAGCCACTGAAGTGAAATGGTCCAGAACCAAAAGGCTGGAAAGGATTTAACAAAGTGGTGGAGTAGGTTTCCAAAGCACATGCTCTCATTCTGACAAACCAGGAGATGACATGGGAGAGCAAAGAGACTGGTCTTGCAAAAGTATTCCAGGAAGATTCTTGAGGACTGCAGACCTCTAGGCCTTACTGCTCCAGGTCAGTTGGTTGAAGCTATGACTGAAATTGGAAAACCTGTAAACTGAACCCTGTGATTTCAAGGGATATACACATGTGTAGGTGTATCTACACACATATGCATACAAGAGAATCCAGGCTGATTTAACTAACCACACTCTGTCTAGTACAGCAGGAATTTCCTCACCTCCGTATTTCACAAGTTCTACAAACAGCACTCCTATAACTGAAGCTAAAACAAGGGAGGAACTGCTCTTTTTTGTTTTAAAGGGACCTGTGTCATGAGTGACTTCAGCTTCTATTACAAAGAGAAAAGAAAGATAAAAATAAAGGAGACTACAGGCATTGATGCAAGGAGAACATAACATGAATGTTTCCTAAGAAAACCTCCTGATATCTAGCAGAAAGATTTTCAAAGTGATCCACAGCTGAATGGTTGAAATCTTCTCTCATGTCTCCAGCAGAGATGGAAAAACAGAGAGAGAATCAATCCTTCACATTTTAGAGTCCTGCAGCTCAAGAGGAAAGCTGTGAAATGCCGGATTCATAGCGGTCCAAGAGGGCAATTTAGCTTTCCTCAGCAGCATGGCAGCAATAAAAAGAGCACAAGTAGAAAAGAACTAGATATTTAATAACTT